TCCCAATACCCCGCCGACACACACCCCCCCAGTTCGCCCAGCCGCTGCTGAGCCGCGCTCAACCCCCCCAGCGGCTGTCTGAGAGACGCAAGAGCGCGGAGGTGGGGAAGAGGAGAATTAAAACGTTAGCGAGCACGAACATTGAAGCAGGCCTCGTTGTACCTGATAACCATTAAACAAACGACGCGTTAGCCGGGTTCAAACGCGGACCGAGGCGTGCAGCTGGGCGGGCCGGGTGAGACAGGAGACGGAGATTCCTCGGGGGTGAACTGCTCTCCTGCTTCTCTTTTTTACGTCCATAATTCATCTCAAGTTCAGGAGGCTAAAGGCGCTGAGAAGTTTTTTTTTTTTGAAACCCAAAAGGAACTCAATCAGTTAAATAAACACGCGAATTACCAGCGATAATACAAGAGGCGCATAAAAGACATTGACAACAATAATAGAAACAATTGTACTGCTAAATCATTCATTGGCAATAGTTGTTTTTTTTTTGCATTAATGGATTAATGATTGTTTTTCTACACATTTATTAGTGTAAAAATGAGCTGAGACATGAAAGTCACACCAGAAAGAGCTTCAACTAAGCCACGAGGTTAAAAGACACCCGCGAATCTTCTGTCTGAGACGGAAACCACAACAATTAAATGAAATAAATCCACACTTTTAGTTTGGGTTAGAAATACAGCAAAATTCAAACCTGGACACAAGGAAGTGACCGAAAACCCACATTCTCTCTTAAGATAAAACTGGTTATCAAGAAACGTCTTTGACTTTTTCCGTGTCGATCGTAAACTTGAAAGACACTACTGGTTGGAGTCGATGAAGACTGCAACACATCCAAATAAATACACAGCCTATCGCCAAAAAGTCTGGGGGCACCACTCCTGTCTCTCTGTTTCAACTCAAATCACTAGACAGGTTTTTTTTTTCCTACAGGGAATGTTCAGATAAAATTCCAAAAGCATAATCGCATAAAAAGCAACTGTATTGTGATAAATCTACGCCAGCGTTATCTCTAGAGCGATTTCCAAATTTAGGAAGCACTTTTTGGAAACCCCCGAAAAAATATGCATAAGAACTGACGCGAATGGGCTTTGAGAGTCTCCGAGCAGAATCTGGCCGAGACGCAGAGCCCTTGCGCTCTGTAGCCAAAGAGGTCTAAGCGACATGACTTCTTTGTAGGACAGGAAGAAGAAGCAGGGACCGAAGAGCCTTCACCCGCCACGGAGACACTGCCGGGCCAGATCAAAGGACGTCCCGGAGAGAAGACAAACGCCCGGCCGGCAAAATAAGGAATGAAGAGCAACTGCTCCTAACAGATGGTCACAAGGACGACACCTTCCCAAAAATCTCCCTCAAGGCACCCCGGCAGCCGCCTCCAGCCCCTCTCATGTCATGTTGAATTATGTTTATGTGGAGCAGGCGCGGTAGAAGCGACGACCACGCCACAACACGAAGTTTGGAAGTTACTTGTGGAAGTGTAGCTTCTGTCCCCGACTTCCTGTTTCGGGTCTACAGAACCCTGTAAGCCAGACGTCACACAAGTTATGCCTTCCATTTAAACTGAGATCACGTATATACACTGCGACCTCGCCGGCCTCCTCTAACAGAACCAGCATCATTCAAAGCTAGAGGAAACAATATGTAGGTGACAATGTAGGTGGTTTAAGTCATCTGTTCCCCCAGTCCAGCAAGTCCCCAATTTCTAAAAGAAATTTAAAAAACGAAAATCTCCGTTTTCTGAAGGAAGAACAATCGCTTTCTTTCGTGGGCCACTGTTAGACACTGCACTATTACTGTGCAAACGAACATGTAAGATATATGTTGACAGAAACGAACGCACTTTTAACTTCAGCAATCGCCCAGTACGTAAAAACCACACACATTTTTAAGTAGGTTTTGTATAGAACACGTATGTTGTTTTTAAAATTTTCCATTCACACACCACTTCTTTGGTGTAGCCTATTTTATTAGGTTCTGTGTTAAGGTGTGCATGTAGCAATATACTGTGTAATATTAGGATGTATTATTACTTTAGAACTGATGCATCAATGCGTGTTGCATGAGTTGGTCACTGAGCGACAGTCCCACAATTTGGTTTCATTTTGTCGCAACCCATCGGTCTCGTCTTCGTCCTGTTAAGAAAACCGAACTAATCAGTAAACATTTTCACGGAAATCGACGGAAACAGGGATGTTCTGTTTTCTACGTGTCACCTGATCATATTTTGTGCAAAAAATATTCTGCTGTGTGCTGGCGGCACGTCACAGACACTTTGACAAGGGTCTGTGACTGAAAAACAAAAAAAAAGAGAGAATCCAGAGTCAATTCTGTTTCTTCAGACACACATCATATCTTCCTTAGCATAGGCCACATAAAGGGCTGTTTTGACTTGTATTACATGTCTACATATTTCGGTCACTTGACACTTTATATAAAGTGAATTTACTGGAAAGGGTGTAATTGTGATTCTTCATAATTTAATTCGGTGCCCATTGTCCCTGTTTTTTCTCAATATTAAGTACATATTTCAAGTAGGGGCCATGTCATTTGCAGCGAATGAAAAGCAGAAAAGCACATTTTGAAAATGAATCACAGTGAGAGAGGAGGTCACACAACAGTGTGCGGTTTAGGGCGGGGTGGTGGGCTTTACGACACAATATTACACCCCCCCCCCCTCATCAATTTGAGCGTCGATATCAATTTTAATTTTAAAGGGACCACAAAAAATAAAAATGAAAACGCTCACAGGAGAATTGAATAAATGCCGCCCTGCCACCGGATACAAACGCCGGGCTAGCCGGGCGTCCTCAGCGAGACCCGGTGCCTGAATGCTCCTGCTCGGAGCCCTGTTTACGTGTTTAGAAATCCCAGGGGCGTTCTGAGGTAAAAAGGTCACAGTGAGCCATCCCGAGCGCACTGCAACATTCCACACGTCGGCCGACACGTTCACACAGGGCCCACACGGTTGTGCTGTCCTTGGATTTGTTAGGGATGCGTGTAATAAATTCGTCGTTAGGCGACGCTGGCAAATGAGGGGTAAAGTTCGTTTTATTCGTTTAATTAAATCAATGGCGGAGGATTAACAGTGGTGTAGGATATAATTTGGCGCATATTGTTTTTTGCGAGGATCAGAGGTGACTATAGACCCACATTATTGATTACAGCCCGGGTGAAGATCGCAGCGGGGCCTCTGACCAGCTTCTTTCACACCACACAGACAAAGCTGAAAAACTGCCAGTTTATAAATTAGCTGTAGCAGGTACCCATTTGTATAGAATCTCTGCGATTAAGCGAATAAGATATCCAGTTAGACAATGACAACTATTTTAATTATTCTAATGCGAAAAAGACCATTTCCCTCTAACATCCCGAGGCACGTAAATAACACCATGATTTATTCACCCAATAAATATTAGAAATACGGAAGGCAAGCTGGTTAAGTTGTTACTTCAAATAAACATTGCACGAACAAGGAAAAAAAGCGTGAATCTTGAGCAAAACGCGAGCTGTTTATTTGAGGTAGTTCCCAGTTACAGCAACGAGACAACAAGATAATCGTTTCGGGATCAGTCCGGGGACACGATTGCACACGGAAGCCAGCTGATAAAACTCAGCCAGCTCGTTCACAAAAGCGGTTTGTTCCCCCCCATAAGACACATCTTAGTCCAAAACCATTTTGCCTTCGCACCAGACTGCAACTCCAAAAACGCCTGCTTATGTAACACAAAGGCAACACGTGTGTTCCCCCTGCAGATGCGCTGTGTGCACATTATAATCGCTCCACGCCGCTTCAGTCTTTATCTAATGTAAACGGTACACAAAACATGTTTATAGCTTTTCTCTCCAGTCTTCGGCGGCTACGGTGTCTTGCCTAACTCACTCATTCATTAAATAAAATAAATATAATTTGGCACGAACGTGAGTGTCCCGTTTCAATTTCTCGATTCGTATTTTAAACCGAACTTTAGTCGACGGCGGAAACCGTGGCGTCTACTGCGTCGAGGCCTAAAGTTAACTCGTTTTCTTCCTTTCATTTTCTTACAATATTCGTCGACAGACTAGTTTTCAAGCAGGCGTTAGAACGGCATTCCGCGATCATATCTCACAGTGACTCGGTGCCCCCGTGTTAAAAACTAAAAAAAACAAACAAACAACAAAAGATTAAAAAGCTTTCCTCAGCAAAGCCCTAAATGTAAACGAAATTTACTTTCCTCTACAAGCTCCGACCCTAATCGATTTTTCGTTACCTCCGTGTAGAAATACCCTGTTAAACCCCGTATAGTGCAAAGACATCCTCACATTTAATTAATTTCTTCTAACTTGCTTTTATAGTCGATTGGACGCTTTCATATGTGACAATCACGAAAAAAAAAGAAAAATCTCATAAACCCCGTTTCAAAAAACAAAAAATACATTTTTTACCCCCCAAAAAAAATATTTAAAGAACTAAGTGGATCCCTGTATTATCATTTGCGTAAACATGCTATCGTAGGCCTTAGTTAGTTTTTTCCCCACTGTAAGGAGTGTGATCGCTAAAACCTGCCGATCAGCTTCCTTACAATGAAATCCCAGTCACGATCAAGGAGACAGTCACCCCTGAACGAGTAAAAGTGCACCCCAAAATACATGGGTGTTAGAACCGATTCCCTGAGGTACCATAATGCTCCGAAAAGCGTGCCTTCGACTTGACTAGAACAACACTTTGTGGCTTTGGCTGGACTGTAGAAATTGCCTTCACCGGCTTCAGTACAATTGCAAGAGCTGCTCGCTTGTTAGTGTTCTTTGCTTTGTTGGTTTCAGGGCTCCTGATGAAATTCAACATCCAAAAATACTGCTCTGTGCGCAGACAGTCTTCACTGTTGCGCCTCAAAGGGAAACTACAATTGAAATGTCTGTAAACGTCTCTTAACACATCTTAAATATATATATCACGAACGGAATGTTCAAGTCTTCCCTCGATATTTCATTTGTGCTCAATCCTCTGAACTGGGGGGGGGGGGGGGAGATCAGGAGGCAGCCGAGCTCGGCGAAGCGTCAGGTGAGGTGGAGACCGAGTTGTCCGAGTGCTCGCCGGGCTCCCGGGAGGTGCCAGCGCCGGCGGCCGGGGCCAGGCCCTCCTTCTCCCGCTTCTTCTGCTTCATCCGGCGGTTCTGGAACCAGATCTTCACCTGCGTCTCGTTCAGCTCCAGCGTGGCGGCGATCTCCACGCGCCGGGCGCGGGTCAGGTACTTGTTGAAGTGGAACTCCTTCTCCAGCTCCGTCAGCTGCTTGGTGGTGAAGTTGGTGCGGATGGTGTTCTGCGGGCCGGCAGCTCCGTACTCGGCAACTTTAGCTGTGAGTATACAGCAGTACAGGAATATTAATCCAACAACACAGTGGTCGCACACAAACAGGCGCGATGTGCAGATTAAAAACGACATTTCAAGTCATTTCAAATACAGTTGCATATCGACACCCGAAGAGAGCTCCACAGCCGAAACGTTGTGTTTTCTTTCCTCTCTTCTCAGCGTGGAATAAACCTGTTACTTGTTCCTGTTATTTTTGAAAACGACTTTCCAAATTAAAAGAGGAGGCTTCTGCTCAAAAGCTACTAATCGCGCTTTATTCGTATCGCTGAAAGTTGTTTATTTGGAGGGGGTGGGGTGGGGGGGTCTGTTTTGGTTTCAGTGGTGTATAGTATCCATATCGGTTCCTTGTACGAGATAAGGTTTGGACTTCATTTATTTTCCTGTGGGGGGAGGGGGCCCAAGGAGCTCTTAATCTAACATACCCTTCGCATTTTCGTCAGGAAACCAGTTCATTTGAAGCAAACCACCGAAAACAGTTTCAGCAGTCCGAATTTCTCCCCTCGCCATTCTGTCTGTGGTTAAGAGGCAAACGTGATCATCTCGCATCATATACGTGATACGGCAGAGAAGTTCAAGAAGTCTCATCTTCACCGCCTGTAACAGCCCGGGCCCCTCGCGTTTTAACGTGTAAAAGTGAATTAACAGCGCAAGAATGTAAAGCCAGACACTGTCCGGCCTGCGCACTCGGTGCATATCCAGCTGTGTTGTGGGACAAGTTAAGGGTAACACGCAGCGCGGAGCTCCTAGCGTGCGGAACAGCAGGTCAGCGCCGGCGAGACAGGCGACAACGCCACCGCGTCCAGGCACGCCAGGGGCAGATCGGACACGACCCCGAGAAACCGGGGGCGTTAGAGGAGAGGAACAAGCCTAACAGAGTTTTGGCCAGGTTTCATTAAAGACTCCCCCCCACCAAACACACAAGAACACATATATCTAGCGGGGTATTTTGGAACAAGGCGTCTGCCTTGTTTTTCTCAGGCGGACTTGGAGGGGAAAGCCGTCTACTGACCTGTTTTGGGTGGGTTTCTCTTCACTTTCATCCACTCGAAGGTCTGCCCCGAAGGGGTCTGTTCTGCGGGGCACCTCAGCTCCTTTTCCCCTCCCTGGGTGGGGGACAGGCCGGGGTAGGAGTTCTGCAAGTACCCCCCCTGCTGCAGCTCCGGACCCGCACAGGCGGGGTGCTGGTACTGAGTACTGGGGACCGCGCCCGGGGTCCCGCAATACCCGCCCGCCAGAGCGCCCAGGCTGGGCCCGACATTGGGAGCCGAATAGCCGGAGGACTGGAAGTAGACTCCCTCCTGCTCCGGGCCGATGAAGAACTGGTGCCCGTACTCCTGGTTAGGCGCCTGGGAGCCGTACGCCGCGGGCCCCGTGTTTGGGTAAGGGTGCGAGTAGTTCGGGTTCTGGTGCTGATGTTGCACGGGGGCGGCGGGGGCGCCCCCTCCCACGAAAAACCGCGCATCCCCGTGGAAGCTGTCACTTGGTGTGCCCGCGCTGGCAGGAAAAGGCGACGCGATGCCCTGATCCAGGTGTGGGTACCCCGCCTTGGGCGAGTAGGCGCTCATCCCGCGATTGCAAATCGTGTACTCGAGGAAGGAGTTCATTCTGGTACTGTCCATGAGCCAGTGATGGAGGAGGGCCCAACCTGCGCTGGCTGAGTGTGTGTTTTTTTTTTTTTGGAGGGGGGAATTCCCTGCTGCCCTGCAACCTCTCTAGGTAGTTATGTCAAACCCGTAAAAAGTTCCCTCCATGCTCGGGCTGCGGCTTCCCAAAACACATATCACCTCGCCGGCGGGTCACGTGAGCCCGGGCCGCGCCAATGGCCAGCCGCCTCGCGAGGTTTGTCAGCTCCGCGCGGTGATCCATCACGCGCCTGACATTTGCATGACAAAGACACTTCAATCAAACCCAACCCATCAATCTGATAACAACGCGCAGACGTCAAGCCTTTCTTCAAAGGGCTCTCTGACTGAGGCAGAAAGAAAGAACGCAGGAGAAGAAGAAAAAACTCCTCAGAATTTATTCCGTAGTCTTATTTCTCTCCCCTCTCCCTCTTTTTTTTTAAAAAAGCTAAATATCCCGGGTAAATTTCAAAAGACGCTCTTCCTTCCCGACTAAAAGATCCGAACTTGTGTCCCAGGAGGCGCCTAGCCAGGTAGCGAGGCCGACTTGTTGTGCTTTGAGAGGCAGGGAATAACTAAACCAAACTCGAGTTCATTAGTTTACCAATTCAAACTTATTAAAAGTGCTTTCATTTTTCCCCCCACTGGCATGCCGGTGGCCTCTTCTGCACAATCCAATATCTGTTTTCGTTGGAAATCCGTTTAACACCCGAATTGCAAGTGAAGCCGCCGTGTCCAAACCCGTCCCGAGTCTAGAACGGACTCCTTTAATTTAATCAATAAGCTGATCTATTACAGAAACGAGGTTAGACCGACAGCTCGCCTTCTGGCACACCAGCAGGGAAATTCGGAGACTTTGTCCTGAGAACAAGCTACTTTTATTTTGTGCGAGGTCTGTATATGAACCGAACTTTTGCTCCAGGCTCTTTTTTTTCCGGCTTTAAAATGAAAAACGAAAAAAAATGCTTTAGTTCCGTTTCGTAAAGTTTTGTCAAGATAAGATTTCTTAACGATAACATGAATAACAACACGAACAGGGATTTCAAAAGAGCCTTGAAAGGTTGTTGGCGAATAAATTAAAAAAAAAACACTTCGGCCTTGTGCCCATTCAGGTTATCTAAGACGATTTATTTTTCTCGTCTCATTCAATACCTCTGCAGAACACTTACGGCCGATTTGGGGGCATTTGAGAAAGCGGAAACGTCTAATTAATATGTGTCGCTACAAGGGGAACGAGAGCCTTCATCTTAATAAAAAAAAACGCCTTCTGAAAAGGGAGACATAAGTATGTCGCATTTATTTACTTGTTTGTAAAAGGAGGACAAGAGAGGCTAACAATATGACGCCCACAGTAATTTGTTACTTGTCAGGATATTTACTACTGGCCTCGCATCCAGGGAACAAGATGGCACTAAGGGCCGAGGGATCAGGAGGCGGAGTAGCTCATATTTTCGCGGCCCTGACCGGTCCCAGAACACATTTTTCACACGGAAAACCCGAGCCACTGGACTGTGCATCCACGAAAGTGCTCAGAGCTTAGCAGGGCGACAGACGCCGTGACCAGTTAGGCAGGACGCAAAAGGTCTGTCTGGTAAGGCTTTGAGCACCGTGTTGAACACTGCTCGGCTAATACCACGTTTTTGTGGTAGGGTCCATGCTAGGATTTTGTCTTAAAGACGTCCATGCGCAAAGCCAGTTTTAGTCCTAGTTTTACGTTTACATTCGGAAAGTTTCTGCTCGGTTGTGGA